AATTCGTGTAGAAATTCGTATAGAAATGAACCGTATAGGAAATTTTCGTATAGAAATATCCGAATATCATATACGAAAAACCTAGAGAAATGCTCTACACAGTCCGTATAGAAAGATTCTATACGATTTTTTCCTACGTGATGTATAAGAAAATCGAAGGGTGCCTTCGGAAAAGAAACAATAGAATGTTCACTTCGAGTGTACGACTTCTGGACCTGCAATAGGATATTTCATGAAAAGAATTCGAGAGGAAAGCTAGCGTCTTGTTCACCAAATTTTATTGGGAGTCTATTGAGATTCCTTAGAAAATCGATTGGAAACTATCAGTTGTTTGCCAATTTCAAAGGAATATTCATAGGAAAAGATCAATAGATTCGGATTTTTCTATTATATCAGTCTTAAATTTATGAACTGTATAATTTATTTTATCCCTTCTTTCTTTGCATTACAAAACATCAAGCTAAAAAATTTCGAAAAATTGCGCTTAGCGTTCTGTTCTAGAAAAAACATATGCAGAATGGATGACATTTAAAAAATCGAAATGCGTATCAGGGAAAATATCAACAGAGTGTTCAACCCAATAGTCACCTCGATATTATTCGAAACTAATGTCCAATACTCCTCCGAATGTCTCCTATACTCAAGCTCAAACCAAGTAATAGGACATCCCCCATCATTCCAAATGTTGAGATGAAGAATGATCCACGAGACATTGAGCGTTATAAATTTTTCGGCACTTCCTGGTGAATTAGCTGGCTTGGAGCCCTTAGTAGTAGCCTTAACAAAGTCACTGGGCGAACCCATTCCAATTCTATTGTACGCCGTCAGATAAATCTGATATTCAGTTCCACACCACAGTTGCGACAGCAGATAGCCGTTAATCTTGTGAGATACTTTAACTTCCTCCCACTCGCCAAACTTTCGCTTGTAGTGCAGTATATAACCCCTTATAATAGCGCCCCCATCATCCCCTGGCTTCCATTGGACACTTATAGAATTGCTCGTTGTACTTGTAGCTAGTAATAGCGGAGCTGCTGGTGGTACCTGAACGATGAGTTTATGAGTTATCTGATCTGAGCCATGAGGATTTTCAACATGACAAGTGTAATTTCCACTGTCTTCACGGTGAAGATCGGATATGTGGAGGGAGCCATCTGTATGAATGGAAATTCTCCCGGATGGCTTGACAATCTGCCCCCATTGCTTCCAAAGAAGCGACGGTTTGCCAACACTTTGACAGGGCAATGTTACGTCTTGTTTCCACGGTACTGTTGCACTCATACCGAATGAATGAATGGCCGCATGGACATGGCTCGAGGGTGATGCACTTACTGAACGTGTTTTCGGTCCCTCGCCCACTGACGTTACAGCTGCTACGTGAAATGAGTACTGAGTACGTTTCTGAAGATTCTCAGCTCGATAGTATGTCTTGTGAGCTCTCAATGTTTCTTTGTACCACTTTTCATCGCTCTCCTGACTCCTTCTGTACACGTAGTACGATGTTATTATACCGTTGGCTTTCAGCGGTGGTAACCACGAGACTATTATCGATTCGTTGGAACTGGCAACGGCTTTTATTCCAGCCGGTACTTCAGGCAAATCCTCCTTGGTCGTGCAGTAAGTCGGCGATGACTGCACACCATCCCCTGGCTTTGTCATTGCTGCCACTTGAATCGAGTAATTTGTGTATTTTTCGAGATTACTAATGACCGCAGTGAGGGCTGTTGTTATTTTAATATCAAATTTTCCGGTTTCTGTTAATGAATCCATGCTCTCCCAGCTGACTTTAAAACCCCGAAGTATGCCATTCAGGCTCGTATCCGGTGGTGACTCCCATGATACTTGGAGGGACTGGGATGAAAGCGCTGTACAGCGGATATCCTGGGGTGGGCTGCTTGGCACTGCAAAGCAAATATATCATGATAGCTATAATTGAAATTTTAATGAGTCTACGTAATTTTCCATTTTCATTCTCATTTCCAGGGCTTCATTTTTTTTTTTCGATGGAGGGAAGTGAAATATTGCGAATAACACATTCATGGGGATGTTGCCAGGCTGGTTGTGGAGGGGAATGAAATTTGTTAATGATGCTTTTAATAATTCAAGTAAGAGAATGGGGATTATGATCTTTTATCACAATGTATATGCAGCATAGTGCTGGAAATATACGGGAAACATGAATGGGTGGTGAGTAGACGATTTTCGAGTACCCATTGGCGAGTAAAGAGATGCTATGTTTTACTCGCCTTCCTCGTAGCCATGCTGGTGAGGGGCTTTATGATTCTCGTTTGTGAGGATTTACGATAAGTAGAGACGCTGTAAAAACCGTAGAAACTTGCTTCGGAAACTTTGACGAGCTAGTCCATAAAGTTGATGGTTAAGGATCGATGGAAAAAGTATATGGCTGTGACATATCTCTAACGAATAGGTATCATGTGTTTATCGTCTTCTTGGGCAAGGTGTAGATGGTGGAAGTGCGCTCATTGGAGGAAGGAGATGGTTCGAAGGGACGGATGCAGGGCGTGCGGAAAGGCAAGGGAAATATTGAAGCATGTAGTAGATTGCAAGGTGCTGAATTGAATTAGAAGATGAGAAGTGCTGGAGAGATTGGAGAGGGAGGCGCTATAGGCATTGGAGGAGTAGGCTAATAGAGGCGCTCAGGGAGCCGCTCAAAAAGAAGTATGATAGATTGGGAAAGATGGAGGAGAGACGAGGAATAACGGAGGTAAAGATGAACAGCAGTGGGCAAGGACTCCGCGATTTTTAATGACACAATGATTCTTAAATGGAATCGATTTCCATAATGACTTCCATCATTACTGATTCAATTGATTTCCAAAGATTTCCAACGGTTTCATGGAATGGAAATCAATGATTGAAAACAATGATAATTTTTCAAAAATCGAAAATTTTTTCTTCTTTCTCTAAAAATTTCCACGCAAATATTGATTCTTCCAAACTTATTGATTCAATGCACATTAATTCAAAATACCTTGGTAGTGGGGTCATTTGTGATAGGTTGCAAAGGAGTAATAAAGCACGTTACACCTCTAGGTAATGTAGGGCAGGGGGGAGAGTGATACTGGATCCAGTGGATACGTGAATAACGAAAATTTAATTATATGTGCTAGTGAAGATGCAAATCGAAGAAATACTTTTTTACCAGCAAAGAGGACGATGAATTTGAATTAGGATAGTTTACCGTCTTCTAGGGTGGTTGATATGCTTTCTGCAGTCATTGGCCCTGGGCCTAGGGCGTTGTAGGCTTGCACCACGACACTGTAACGAGTGTATTTTCGCAGTGCTGTCAATTGACATTGGCGACCTGGGATGGCAGTGCGCGCAAGGCCGAGGGTTGCACTGGCAGTGATTGGTCGACCTTCTACAGTCTTGTAAGTGTACTGTTCGGCTGACAGTCTGGGGATGGAAAATATGGGTTCCAGAATTTTTGAGTTTCTTACTTCGACGAATAATGAAAAATTAATAAGTTATTGACGATATAGGCTCCTCATTTGGTCATAGGTGATTCGTTTCTGATCGTTTTTCGAAATATAAAATTAGTTGTTCAATACGGTCAATCGAATTTTAATATCTCATTATTTTATTCAATAAACAAATTTATGCAACAACGCAATTGAACCGATGAGAGTAGATGTGGGTGTGCGTAAATTCATAATTTCGAATAATTTGGGACGAATTGTATGAGGATAATTCGATTTGAAAATAATTTAAATTACTCGAATAATGTGAAGCGTATGAATAATTTCGATAATTCGAATATTCAATTTGACTTCCGGATTGGATTTCCTCATTCAATATAATTGAATCTGGCAACTACTCGAACATTCATTATTTACTGTTTGGAGGTAGGACACATTTTAAACAATTGAACAAAATCGATCTTTTTCAATTCTTAGAGATTACAATGGCCATAAAAAATTTACGAACACTCAGTGTCCACCTTAAAAATCATTATCATTAAGATTTCCAAAAGTTGTAAAAATTTCTAATGCTCATTCATAAGAAGAGAATTTGATTACAGAAAAAATTCAAATCGTATCTTCATTCAACTTCGCACTAAAGCCTGACAATGGCGTACCTATGCTCCTTAAATCCCACATGATACCCCAAAATTTCCCCATTCCAAAGATCGGGATCGGGTGGATCCCACGAAATTTTCAATTCCGTCGAGCTAATCGCCTCGACTTTGAGATTCCTCGGTGGTCCCCCCGGTTTCTCCCCCTCCGTCGTAACGTCAAGTATCTAAAAACAAGCACATCAAAACTAATTGCACATCCGAATCGTTACAAAGGTCACGACAGTTATTTCAGTGGTATAAAAATCAATAGGAGAGCTTTAAAATGTTATTTACGGATTACGTGGGGGGGTGGGGGAGGGGACTAGATCTATATACCTACATCACTCGCTTGACTACGACCCAATTCGTTCTCGGCAAATACCCGAAACTGATATGTAGTTGCTGGTCGCAGGCCGTTGACGTGTCCGTATGTCTGAGTGCCGGGCACATCGGTATAAAATGTATGATCATGCCATATTTCTGTGGATACGGGGGAATAAAACGGATGAAGAAACGTATAAATATCATGTAAGCAAAATAACTATCGATAATGGAGAATGAAAAAATTACCAGAGTCTGTTTTATACTCGATGATGTACTTTGTTATTGGACTGTTTCCATCTTGGCTGCTGGTCCAGCCCAATTTGATATACCGACTCTCACGTTTCAGTACCTCAATATTCCTCGGAAAATCCGGTGGCTCTGAAACAATATTTTCACATCAAACAAGCCACATTGTACCAGCTGTTTATGTTCCCCTATAGTTACCCTGTATATACAAATGCAGGGTCATTTCGTCGCCTCCATAAGCATTGGACGCTGTGCAGAAATATACTCCACTGTCTTCTCTCGTTGTGCTAATGAGCTCGAGTATACTGACGGCCCCTTCCGTGGTATTCATTTCTTTGACCATGTACCGATAATCAGAAGCTGCTGGCTCTAATTGCGAACCCGCCCTGCGCCACTCGATATTCAGTGGATGATCACCTTTGGCTTCACAGCGCAGGGAAGCTCTTGAGCCTAGCCGGGCGGTTTGGTTTCTGTGCTTGTCTATGATCCTCGCTGGTGCTGGATAACATACATATTCCGTGTAGAAATCAGAGGGCGGCCGGTCGCTCCCGATTAGGGTGCACGGAGAAAAAAATTGATTTTCGGGAACGTGTCACTGATTTTTAGGAATGTATCAACAATTCAGTAGCGAAGTGGTCAAACGGTTCATGTCGATTTTGGCTATTGGCCAGTTTTCAATGAATATCTCGAAATCTAAGGGAGATGGCGAAATCATTCTCATAACATTTTTAGTAGCACTCAATTCGCTCTACAAAAAAGGTTATTATGAAAATTTCGCTATCTCCCTTAAATGCGGAAATATTTCTGGAAAACTCAACTGAAGACTAAATTGACTTAAACTGAATAAAAATTTCGCTATCTCCCTTAAATTCGGAAATATTTCTGGAAAACTCAACTGAAGACTAAATTGACTTAAACCGTTTGACCACTTCGCTACTGAATTTTATTGGTTATTTTAGATACTGAATGGAATTAGTCTGATCATTGGTGATTTCTATCACTGAAATTTGGTGATAGAATCCTGAAAGGGAATGATGAGTCCCGGAAAATCAGAGACATTTACCGGGAAATCAGTAATGTTTCCGGAAAATTAATAACAAAATCACTGAATTCCAACATTTTGCACGCGTTAAATCCCTAAAAATTAAGGATGCATCGCTGAAAATCAGTGATATGTTCCTGAAAATCGAAATTTTGTTCTCTCTACACTGATAGACTGATTCATTTATTCCAAACGAGATTCGTTAACTATTAACGAATGGTAGAGTTGAATATGACCAAATGAATATTTGTTAATAGTTAACGAATGGTTCACTGGAAAGGTGAAAATCGAGTCAAACAAGCCTCCTTAAATATGCGTTTGTTAACTATTAACGAATGACCATTTGGTGAGACCGAATGGACCCTCGTCTCCAACCAAATCCATTCGTTAACAATAACTAATCCTTTCAATCAGTGTATGGGACTGGTAGCGGTTGGCAGAAGTAGGTATGACCATTATGGGTCGGACAATAACTTGCCGACCAATTCTCTTTTTTTGGTTTATTGTGAAAAAATCCCAAATTCCGAAAAAAATATCTAAATAAGCGAGGAACATTGGATTTGATTTTAATAAAAATTCAATCAGTGGATACGACTTGAGTCATATCCACTGCTGGTAACAGAAATAGACATTCACTCACATATTTTTCCAGAAAAACGGTAGAATTTTCTGAAAAGTCGTCATCTTTCGACATTTTTTCAGTACTTTTTCGCATCTAAAAAGAAGAAAATGAAATCGCATCGTTTATTCACGAGAAATCGTAGCACAAAATTTTGTACACGTCAAAAGTGGTCCCAAAGCTCACAAAACAGAGAGAAATGGTTAAATATCCACATTCGATTTTCGAGGTCATGAGAATAACTTTCGCCCTGCGGGTCGGGAAGTTAATAAATCTCGCGATCGTTTGTGTGATCAGTTTCGTACCATTCACTGTCAGGTAAACGACTTTGCTGAGTCCAGCGCCAATTCCATTTACAGCCTCACATAGGTAGTATCCTTCGTGATCCTCTTGAACTCTTCCGAATACCAGAGAACCATTCGAGTGGATTCTCAATTCTTGTGCATGCTCATGACTCGTTATATCGTGGTAGCTTCCGGGCTTTGTGCCACTACCTCGACGCCAGGTAACAGCAGGTGTTGGGAATCCATCTGCGTGACAGTGGAGGACCAGTTTCGACGTACCTTCAGGCGCATGCACGTCCTTGGGCTCCATTATCCAGCGTGGTGGCACTATACACGGATATCTCATTACTTGGAAAGTCATTTTTCATCATTTTTTTCAAGCAATCTCAAGTTAGGAGTTTAATCTATGGAAAAAATAATTCGTTCGGAATATGCGTTTACTGTGATCGTTAAATCATGTAGGATTTTTTCAGAATATCTCGTTACTCTATGGGAGCTTTGCAGTCATTAATAATTCAAGGTTTTTGTTTTATGCTAAACTGAAAGCCACTTCAGTTGTTCATGAATTGGAAAAAAATTTTGGGAGTAATATAAATGCCCCATTGAAATTTTAGATGAATGTCACACAGTCGAGAATTTTCGGCTGAAATTGCCGGTATTTTCGTAGAAGCTTTTATTTAGTGAAAATGCCAATGAAATTCCAAGGAATTTCGTCATTGAAAATTTCCTATTTGATGAAATAATCAATGAGAACGGTAAATTTTAGGTCTATTATTCTATGAAAAGTAATAGAAATCCGGAAATTCAGGTAAATATATACTACAAGAAGACAGTACTTAAATTCGGTATTAAAATTCCAGATTTTCAAAATCAGTATCTGAATTTTAGACCTTTCGGCAGTATATATTCTTGAATTTCCAATTAATTGGAACAGTAGCGTAATTTGGTACTGAATATTCATGTTTTAGTTAAAAATTCAAGCTATGTACTTCTCGTCTTTCTGCTGCTAAAAAAATTACAAATTCATTAAATTTCCAGTGAAATTTCGAAATTGAATGATTTTTCCCCCCTAAATAAAATGATTCCGTTGAACCATCAACAGAATTTCAATTTTTTTTTCAATAGTGCACCATTTCCGTTTTCCCACAGAAATTCCTAACGCCTAAATTCCCCAGTTGTCTACGCTTTAATTTCGCGCTTGATTAAAAACAAGTATTAATTCTCCAAACGTGCCTTGAGATTGCTTCTCCCATCCTCCCCAGACAAATAGAAAATTTCGAGTTCCAATGAATCCACTAAAACCCAACATTTTCTTCCCACAAAATAAAAAACTGTGCTCTACATGTGTGTGCATTTACATAAACGGCAGATAATAAAGAAAATAGAAGGTGATTTAGTGCAGTAGACGGGAATGGGATTACAGTGAAAGAAAATTCAATGTAGACTTACCAAATGAGGTGCAGATAATTAAAACTTTGTTTACGTTAAAGTGTGTGCAGGATAAAACATGAAAAAAAAATCATTACGATGTGGATAAGGTGCAAGTAATTGTGCGTGAGAGAAAGTGCTCAAGTGTAACTGAATGTGCGGATGTGCTTTGCAAAATGTGCGTTTTATTCGCATGAATAATATTAATTATTTCATTTGCGTTAGATATTTGCAGTTTGCGCCAAGTAATATGTGCGATGTGCGATATTTGGCGTCATTCGTTGTGCGCTATAGCTCGCTGCCTATAGTGGCTGCTTTATTTTTTCTTTAAAAAAATATATATATATATCAAAATGAGAATATTTATTTTCAACACTGATAATAGTAAATATTCAGGTGCCTCGAAATGTGCAAATGTGGTAATATTCCATCGACAGATATTGTTAGAGTTTGTAATTTACCACGAACAACTAATTGCGCTGTGGATGAAACCTCGGCAACAGAGTTACGTGCAACGCAAGTATAATTGCCAGCGTGAGCTGCATTGACACGATCAATTGAGATGGTACTAGAGTGTTGGTCCATACTGGTAACACGTAGACCAGCAACAGTCTTGTGAGAGTTTGCTGTTGCTGCACTGTTAAAACCAGGTGGTGAAGAGGTTCCAATGGATTCACCATCCTTTAACCATATTATCGTGAAGGGCGGATCTCCCTTTTCAATAACACAGGCAACCTGGGCACGAACGCCCTCCGATAATTCCTTGTTAAAGCTAAAGGGAGCTATGTTAGGTGGAACTGTAAATGCAATAAGAAATATCGACTTTGTCAACTTGAGTTATTGAATTGCCATGAGTCTGAATAATTTTAACAAGTTATCTAATAGTAAATGTGTCATTCCACTTGGTTGAATGGCAAATTCCTCCGGGATTTTTTACGATTTCGAGCTGCTGGTGGAAATAAGATGTAAATGTACATCAAAGTGTTGGGGGAATCATCCCAGAGAGCTCCATAAAATCCGCCTTATTCCCGGAATACCAGTTTTATTGATGTTGCAGTCGGGAAACAATAAATCCTCATGAATATAACATTTATATGGACAATAGAGTTTGATTTTTTTAGATGAATGAAGGAGAAAATTTTCGTTGAACAGTCTACTGAATATTCTTACGTGAGAAACGTGATTTCATTCTGTTAAACATCTAGACTCCTGTGAAAGACGTCAAGATGATGGGAAATAGATAGATATAGCGGAGTTACGGTTAAAGCTGAATCTCAGGAACGTTCTACTGGCTGTATCTCGATTGTTCGCCCGACCGGAGATTGCATCCCTTAAAATTGAATTACCACAGACGTGTTCGGGGCATGATGCCCCCGGGTGCGATTCATCGAATACAGAATCGTTGGGAGTTGAGTGCACACTTAAGAGCCAAACTTTCTCGCAATCGCAATTCATTTTTTTTCCTCCGTGATAATTGTTTCTCTGGGTGCAGTCGCACATCATTGGGGGAAACAACGAGCGAATATCATGGAAATCATTTCTTGAGATGAGAAAGTAGCATACTGGGAGAAAATTATTTGGTGAATTTCAATAACTAGTTGTTCAATTTTTCTTTTAATTTCAGCCACAACGTCATCTGAATTCTCAATGTTGTGTGTTTGAATTCAACGTCACGTGAAAACGTTCTTAAAATTTCTCATTCATCTTGACAATTCAAGAAAATTGGGTTTTGCATATTAAGCGATCATTAATATTCCAATGAAAGCTGGAGTTTTCAAACTCATTGCGAAAATGAAACGTTAGGTACAATTTAATTTTTAATAGATCGAGAATTCAGAAAAATTGTTCATGTAACTTTTCAAGCTTTTTCCCTTGAAATTTCAAGACTACTTTTCTAACAGTGCACGTTTAGTAAATTTTCTCAAGTCGGGGAGAAAAATTCACACATTTTCTCGCATTTTTTACCCCGATATAGAGTGAAAAACAAATGGATTCCGCTCCACGATTATATGACTTATTTGGCAATTCTCTCCAACTTTGTTGAAGAAATTAGTTCTGTGATATTAGGTCGTTGTTTCTCCCACTGCATTAACTTCCATCTGAATTATAGTTTGTATCCCCCCGTATCAGTGTTCAATGCAAATTGACCGCGACAAAATGAGATATTTGTCACACGCGTGTACACATGCGGCATTAACGCATGGAAAATGTTTTTTTGTCGGGCGATTCACGTACTCCTATATCCCTATTCCACTGACATCTGCTGTATCACGCACACATGCCTTTATGCATATATTCAGGTGATATTATGGGTGTGTACACGTGTATATGGTGGATGTACTCGATGAATGGCTTTTCTGCATTGTTGGGGGAATATTCGCGGCTGTTCTCTCAGTCCTTGCGTGTCTCGACTCTGTTCACTCGGTCTATGTAACGGACAACAATGCGAATCATAATTATTCAAGCGTTTCCTGAGCTGACAAGGGTGCGAGATGATGCTCACGCCATTATTATACCTCAAATTCAAATTATTTACCACGCGATAGTTCTCTGGAGATTAATTCACAACGGAATATTAAATGCATTATGCTCAGTAATTAATGAAAATTTATGAGAGTCGGATGAGAGCAGGTGAATATTTTGGTTTGAAAAAGATTGAGTGAGATTGCGGGTAATTGAGGTATGAATTCCCGCAGAGGTATGGCAACTCCAGAAAAATTCAAAACAACAGGATTATGAGACGTCTATCGCTTGAATTTCAGTTTTTTGTTGAAAACAAAAAATAAACTGACATGAAATCGCCTGTGGGTCTGTTGGTCGAATGTAGAGGGATAAAGCAGGAACGAATAAAAAAAAAGGTTTCGCTCGTTCCGTTTGCCCTGATTTGTTCGTCTGTAGTGAGATACTGGGAGGGTAAAGGGGATGTTGAATCAGCAGCCAGACGCGTTTTTCTACCGTGTGAGAATATGAAACCCGAAAAGAATGTGGAAACAGAGGGGACAGAGGTAGATGAAAAATTTTCATGTTAAAAATAGGAGAAAAAAAAGAGGTTTTGTATTCAGAAAGAAAAGTTGAGGTGTAAGTATTGCGTTTGACGTTGAAAATTTCAAGAATTTGATAAAAAAAATGTGTCTGTTTCGTGGTATAGTTGACTGGACGTGTGAAATACATTTGGTGAGGGTCACGTTTATTCGTACCATGGACCAATAAAGGCGCAGTACGAAAGACCTTGGCTGCATCATTGCTAGCAAGACACGTGTAGTTTCCATTGTGCGTTGGTGAAGCGCTTGCTATTCTCAGTGCCAAATCGTATTCGTCTATCTGATGGGTTGTTGCTTCTCTCGGTTTCAGGGGATGTCCATCCTTCAGCCATACGATCTTTACTGGCCCATCACCCTCGCTCACCACACAAGTCACATGCACTCGTGCACCGGCGTGAATATTGGTGGGAAAACTAAACGGATCGATTCTGGGTGGGACTGGAAATTTAACGAAAATATGTAAAGAAGAAAGTAAAAAACAATGGCATGTAAAAGATACATCTGAGCGCTATAACAGGAGAAAATGGATGAGTGCTATCTGCAAAGGGGATAGGGTGATGCTCGTTCTGTCGTAAGATAAGACGAGCAAATAGTAGTAAAATAGAAGACGACTCTGGGCTTTTCCTTTAACCTCGTGTTGACGTACAAATCATACAACTGATGGTGCAGTCGTTTGTGTGCTCCGTCTCCCTCAATTTTTGACTCGCAAATGGTAGTTTTTCCCGGAAATGTTGATAGGAGACCCATCAAATAAACGCAATTGAGAAAAGCTAATTGAAATCTAATGATTACGCTGGAGTTGTTTGCAGTTGAAATCAACTTCGATGAAATGGAACAACTCTTTGTGACGAGGGGTTTCCCAATGGAGAACGAGGAATATAACTTTCCTTATGAATGATGGAACCAGTGAGACTGAGGCGAAGCCGTATGTCTCGCTGTTTCAAGGGCTGCTGATAGAGCCCCCACCTATATTTTTCTCCACCTCACTCTTTTCAATTCTTTCTCCACCTCAGCATTATCTCCAGCTCCTTGCTGTCTCGGGTTTCGAATAAAACAACGATAAAGAGACAAGAGAGGAGAAACCTAGATTGCCTGAAATATTGATTCACAAGTAAATTATTCAGGGGGATTGTGGTGAGCCTCTGCTGCGGTTACATTCCTCCGACATCACCAACTACTCAGCTGTTGAATTTTCCAAGTGATATCAACATTACAAATGACCCCTCCACTTATTTATCTTAACTCTCACCTTTAACTTCTATCTGGACTGTTTGCGAGTCGTAGTGGCCCTGTTTGTTCCTCGCTGTACACGTGTACGATCCACGATCTGTACTACTGTCAACATTATGAAGGATCAGTGTACCATTTGGAGATACTTCCTGCCGTCTACTCGTTGGCAGTACTTGGCCGTCTGTTCGGGGGGGAAAAACAAATATTAGCATAAATCATAAATTTCTCGATGCCCTGGAGAATAAATATCACTTGTGACGTACACGAGCGGTTATATGGAGAACTCGGTTATTCTCTCAGATGAAACTTGTAGAAAAGTTCGGATGGGGGGGAGGGGAGGGGAGTGGCATTGATGGCCAACGTTGAGTCCAGACTAGACTCTCACTCTTTCTTGTCAGGGCGGAAAAGTTTCGCAAAGTTCAACGTTAGCGCACAGTACATTTCCAGCAAGTTCCTCCCTCTTACTTAAAAGCTCGAACGAAACTCAAAGGAAAGAAAGCCGATAAGTCTAGCCAGCACTTTACTCTCGTCTGTTTCATCTTCGTTCAACTTCGTCAACAATGACGATAAATTCTATTTCATTTCCATTTTCGTTAATATGGGGTTTTAATTTACTGGAGTAGTTCGTTGATAGGGGAAATGGATTTTTTGGACTGTCTATTGCGAATGAAAATCATTGGGTGTTGAAGGCTGTTGAAGAATAAAAAAACCTACGCGATTGGTGCAGTGTTGCCGTGAGTGAGAATATAACCGGAAAACTAGACGAGAAAAAAATATGCGGTATGATATGGCATTCACCGGAAAACTATTTTCTTCCGTTTAATCTGCTCATAATTCATAAATTTTCAATTCGTGGATGGGTTTAGAAAAAAATACTCTTTTTCACAGATTTCCTTCAAGTCTCCAAGATTTAATGAATGCGTTTGGTAATTGGAAATAAAGACATGCAGCACAATTTGCTATTGTTATAAATTGTATTTTGTTTCCCTTTTTCATTAATATAGATTTTTAATTTGCAGAAAAATTTCATGGGGGAACTGCATTTCTCACCTGTCAATGTTGAAATATTGGATATTGAAAGTTGTTGAACAATAAAAAAAGCTTGCGCAACTGACATAGTATCGCGATGAATGAAAATAAAACAAAAACGAGAAACGAGAAAAAAAGAGTGGTATAGGGTGACCGATTTTGGTAGGTTGATTTCAGTATCAATTAATAAATTAAATTCATTGGAAAAAATAGGCTACATGATTACTCAAATTTAGGGCTAAATTTAACGGTTTTCTCTCTGAAATTTGAAAGATTTAATGAATGCATTTATTAACACAAAATAAAAATCCGCAGTCAAATTTGATCTTGTGATAAACTCTCCTCCATTTTCATTTTCATTAAAATAACGAATATGTCGAATGAAAAGCGTTGGATATTGAGCATTGTTGAATAATAAAAAAAAGTTCCTGCGCGACTGACATAGCGTCGCAATGAATGAAAATAAAACACGAAAACGTGAAACGAGAAAAAAAAATGGAATGATATAGGGTGACCGAATTCAGTTGGGTTGATTTCAATGTCAGGTGATAAATTAAATTCATTGGTGACACATACCTTTTTCCCACGTTATACTGGCGATTGGAAAACCAGCCACAGGACACTTGATGACCGTGGTTTCTCCAGCGACCGCTGCATAGTTGCCCATTGGTCGAACATGAGGCAGACCGTAGATGTTTAGACGTGCCGAGTGATGGGCTTTGGAGACACGATTCACAGCTGTACAACGGTACTCACCCCCATCCTCAACTCTGACAGTACTGATATTAACGTGGGATATAACATCCCCATGAACCGTTACATACTGTCCAATCATAAACCTGAAGTATTAAAGGAAAGGGAGCTCTTTTATTTGCTCGAGTACTTTCTATTCTTTTCCATCATCCCTCAACAAGCCAAGATCGATGAGAATATTGTCGCACTTGCACTTGATACTCTTGTCTCCGCTATTGGTTACGTACCTATCATTCTGAGGCAGTGGAAATCCATCCAGGCTCCATGTGAAATGGGGTGTAGGATTTCCTGTTGCTATGCATTTGAGGGACACCGAGGGACCCGGCTGGATCGTCTGCTCGATGAATTTATATACAAGCTGTGGTGCAGCATCTTTCCAAAAATTTCAATTGTTTTTACTTACGGGGAAATTGATGGGGGAATGGGTCGTTTTTAATCGTGGATGACTGACTACACGAAGACGAAAGAATTATGATTTTCAGAAACATGTTACACTGTTAAAAATTTTAGTGAATTTTTCGTGCCAAAACCTGGAAATTTTTGTTGTGTTTAATTTCTACTGAAATTTCAGGAAATATTGACATTACAAAGACAAATTCTCCATTAATTTTCGGTTCAAATGATCTGAAAATCAATGAAATAGTCGATTTTTCGGTTGAATTATTCCGTAAAAAATCAGAAAAATCAGGTGAAAATTGAAAATTCATGGCATTCTGTTTCTAAATATTCATGGTTCATTGGAAATTCAATGGAGTTGTGAAATTTTCATGTCACTCCCACTGAAAACTCATGAATTTCTTTGAATTCTACCTAAAACTTGAAATTTCATAATCATTTCGCCCCTAAATTCGATGCAAAGTCACTCTCCTGTGAATTACTATATTTTCCATGAAATTTCTAAAAAAATTTGACAGTGCACGGACTTTCAGGAATATGTTATTGATGTTTAGGAATCTATCACAAAATTACTAGAATAACCGTGATCATGAGTAATTTCTATGTTGGAAATTTGGTGATTCATTCTGAAAAATTAGAGATGGGTCCCTGAAAATCCAAACTTTTTATTCTCCGTGTACATTGTTGAGAATTTGGAGCTTAAATATCGGGTACACATCGCGGAGATTTTTACCAACTGATATGTCTAGTGACATTTCAATAAATTTGATGGGAAAATCAATAGAAACTGCACTTTCCGTTTCAATTATTCAGTGAAATTGTGAAAATTCAGGTGAATATATTCTTGAATTTTAGAGGAACTAGAACGTCAATCATCGTATGAATTTGAAATTACGATTCTTACAAATTATATAACTATCGTCCTGAATACCCAAACTATTTAAAATGCAATTCAATGTCGTTGAATTTTCAGCACAAAATTAAAAATTGAAGATCTCATTGACTCATTTCCATTACATCATGTCTACTCAACATCAAAACCGGAATGTCCATGGAATTTTTAGATAATTTAACATAACGTTGGCGCAAAATCCTGAAAGCATGAGAACATTGAAGAGGTTCTTTGGCCACACCTTTCGTTCCACGTAATACAGAACCTCTTGATTCACAGGGAGAAACATCTGTTGGAAATTGCCCTTGAATTTCAGCAATCTCACGGCGTAGCGGACCTCCGGCACATTTATCACAGCTCTAATAAATAAAAGCAATGACTTCCACAAAAACCCAATACTCTCGTGGCATTTCTGCTTCAAAAATCGCAATTAACACTGCTCGAGCACTAAAATTCAGGGGAGATTTTTTAATAAATACCACTGATCCCCCTCGAACCAAAAATTTCAAAATTCTCAATTGAACGGAAAAAACTCTTGAACCGAATGGGCTATCCCCACGCGAGCATATTTATTTTTCCACGAATATATCCCCCCAGCGCAATGCATATAAGTAGGTAAATTCCGCCCCAGAAACCGGGTTATCCGATCTCCGGGGAGTTGGAAAATCGTCACACTGGACACGGAAGTATCTACTGCGTGACATTTGCATGACAAGCCCGGTGGCCCAATGGCCCTCTCCTCAGCGCCCTGCCCCCGGACTATTGATCTGCGGTTTGATGCTTCGAATTCTATTGTCGTCTACAGCATTACCGTGAAATCAGAGGAACGACAATAATAACCTAAAACGGGCTGATGTAGAGTGGATGCAAACGATGGAAGCGAGTAGAAAACAGAGCTACGGGATTTGCTGTGGAGTGAGGGCCACATCGGCTGCTGGCGTATTTAACCAATTCACTGTTACGGCGTATATTGTTGTTACCAATTGAGGCCATGCCCCCCAATCATGCATAATCCCATTTATATTTAACTGTGAATCGTTGCAGTTTGTTATTAAATCAGTTGCACTGAAGCGACTAAAGCTCTCTCGCTGCAGTCGTTTCCACGCAGTTCCACTAATTTGTTTGAATATTACAGAGAGATCTTTTTTTTACAAAAAATCAACATTAGTGGAAATACCAATTAATGCTGTAGGCCGCGCTAACAGCTATAATTAATCGAAAGGTCATGTGAGAATTTTCAATTGCTGGAAACAATTACGAGTTGAGATTCTAAACTCGAATTTCTATCGAGAATTGATTTTCACAGCTGTCAAACTCCTGCCTGGAGAAATGGAGTGCAACAGGACTAAAGGGTTGAGGCACGTCGACGCCATTCGTTTGTGTCTCCCGAGAGTTTCAGCTTTTCACGAGCTTTAACAGGAGCGAAAAACACCCGACAACAAAAAATGATATATATGTGAAAGTCGAATCGCCGACAGTCCATATGATGAATAAGATAAATGGTACATGTTTGTGTGTACAGGGATTGGATAAGCATTCATCATCATTCTGATACATCAGGGAAGACATCAATTAATCCCGGAAATGTTTGTCATCAAACTACTGAAATATTTGGCTGTCGAGTGTGTGCAAGTCCACATATGCGATAGCACTAGTGTGTTTACCCTATGCCATGATGAAATTTCCGATGCTCTCACACTCGGAAAATTGAAAGTATGGTAGATCGAGTGTTTAATCGAGCAGGTCCTACCAAGTGGGCATGAAAACGTATACCCAATAGAAAAAAACCGAGTCACTTTACCCCTCCTGCAGACGGAAAAATGAAGATCCAGGCGAGGGGATCGCTTTCCATCGAATCAGTCGAGTTCTCACGAATAGAAAATGGGAAAAGCTGGCATTGAGGCTCACGTCTCTCGGTTCTTCTGCATCGATCGCTCGATTGGGTCGTTGCCCATCCAATCAGTCTACCCCTTTCACTTCCTCTACTCTCTCTATCGCTCTCTTGTGGCTAGGCAAAACCTTTCTGTCTTCGCTCCGTGCACGTCATTGCGGAATCTTGGTACGAGATACTCGACCAATCCAACAACTGATCTCGGAATTTATCCTAATTGCTCCCAGCAATATGTCAAAATTGCTGGTCTAGCGGTATTCTATGTCTCGAATGGAGTTTTAGGGTAAGGAGATAGTGAAGATTTCAAGAGGTTTTACTGCCACAACATTCGTTATGCGAAATGCGGAAATGGTTGGTTCACAGAGAGAAACATTTGTTAGAAATTGTCAGTAAATTTTAATAGTCTTTTATCAGAAGTCTAGGTAAAAGTACAATGACTTTCGTATAAATGAAAATATTCTGTTGGGATTTTTACTACACGGAGAGAAATTTTCTAGAAAAATTCTAGTACGAGTACTAGAAAAAATTCAATCCATCGGCTGTGAAAAATTCTAGTGCTGTTTAGGTAAAATTTATTGATATTTCTGGTAAAATTTGTGGGAATTTCTGTAAAATTTTCACAGAAATACAGGGAAAAATTCATGCGTTCCCTAATAAAATTTCTAGTGCCGGAACTGGAATTTTTTCCTGGCCGTCACTTTGCGCCTCTTTTCCCGTGCTAGCACTAGAATTTTTCTAAAAAATTGCTATCCGGTAGAATCATTGAAATTTTTAAACGTTGAATTTTTGAAGATATTGAAGTTTACATTAGAGTTCCGATAAAAAGTCAGGAGAACTACTCGATTACCTTTTAAGAACTTCAATCAAAACTCTGGGTCAAAATATAATGACTTCCATAAAAATTGCAATATTCTAGAGTAATTTCTACTTGAGATATTGAAATTTTTACAAAACATATTGAATTTCAAATTACCATTTCGTTAAAAAATTCAGGGAGGCTGATGCGCCACTCGATTACTCAAATTCAGGGGCGATTTCGAAGGGGAGATTCCGGAATAAACAATCGCTCTCTTGTGTCTAGGCAGAAACTGTCTCTCTACCCTTCGTCAATATACTTGTGGAATCGTGGTATGAGACACTCGATCAATCCAACAACTGATCTAGAAATTTATTCTGTTCCTCTGAGCGACTTGTCAACATTGTTCGTCTAACTTTACGAACACGAGAGTTTACGTAAGAAAATATTAACGATTCCTTTGGCCACACCTTTTGTTATGTAAAATGCGCAAATGCACGATTCATAGAAAGAAACATCTGTTGGAAATTTCCCTCGAATGTTAGTAATGGCTTGATCGACCTTTTAAGAACTTCAATCAAAACTCTAGGCCAAAATATAATGACTTCCATAAAAACCGGAATATTCTGGTGTAATTTCAACTTGAAATATTCAAATTTTCATAGTCCTTATTGAATTTTAAATTAGTATTTCGGTAAAAAAATTCAGGGAGGCTGGTGCGCCACTCGATTACTCAAATTCAGGGGCGATTTAGAAGGGGAGATTCTGGAATGAAGAATCGCTGTCTTGTGTCCATGCAGAAACTTTCTCTATCCCTCGTTATCATCATTGTGGGATCTTGGTATGAGATACGCGACCAATCCAACAACTGATCTAGAAATTTATCCTAATTGCTCCGCGCAACTTGTCAGAATTGCTCGTCTAACTTACTCCATATATCGTACGTCGTTTTACCCCCGACCCGAGTAGAATGAATGGGCCAACTCACCCCCAAGCCGGAGTTCGGCAGTTGCCTGAACCATCTCATAGTCATTTTTGGCAAAACACTGGAACATGCCCTTGTCATCTCTGGTGATTGACGATATGTGCAGGGTTGAACCTCCGTTTCCAAGCACCTTTATCCTTCCTGCACCTTCTCTAACCGGAAGTCCATCCTTCGCCCAGGATATTGTCGGAGTTGGCAGGCCGGTTATCGCACACTGGAATTTTGCGTCTTTACCGATATCAATCGTCACCTGTAGAATGAAAAACGCAGAATTTTGTGATGATTTGGTTGAGAAAGGGGTGAGATTCGTGTCAGGGGAAAAATTTTCTGGTTTCCTGTAAAAATTTGAGAATCCCCCGGAAATAGGGAAATTTTTTTCACAGAAATCAGACATAAAATTGTAATTCTCAATTATTTTCACTTCAATTGACATTTGATTCTTGAATTCAGAAAATTTAAGGAATTTCGTGTCTGAAAATTCACGGTTTCGTGAACAACGCCAAGGAAACTAAATTTCAAGTCAATTATTCGACGAGAATAGATGGAGATCTAGAAAATTCAGTTAAATCCATTTTTTTACTTTCAATTAATAAAAAATTCCACGTAATTTGGATTTGAATATCGATATTTTTGTTAAAAATTCTAGTCACTTGGGAAATTTAATCGAAGCGAATTTAATGGCACTCTCCTGAAAATCCTGCTAAACTTCCCCTGAAATTTCAATTTTTTCCAGCAGTGATTGATTCCTTTTCATGTTCTAAAATCACCCCATTCATGTTTGAAGTATTTTTCAAGTAGATAGAGCTATAAATGTCAGACATAAAAGCATCTCTCAAATTTATAATTGCTACTTGAATTCTATCCCTCCGAATCTTCTAAATTAAAAAACTCCCTTTTCATTTGAAAAACATTCTTCACCGAAACTAAGTAACCAGTAACTTCTAAAAGTTTTTCTTCTGAAATTCTGTAAACACTTTCTTACTCTGACGACAATGGAGTTCATAACCACGAGTATCTTAAAATCAACAACTCTTCTCTGAAAACCAGAAACTTTTTCCCCTGTTCGTTGTGATGTAGTAACCTGCTGTGGCGCCAAATGTATAGACAATCCACTTATGACAGATACTTCGAGCTCAACTCTCTCCGAGCCTGCAGTGTTGTTTACATGACAAACGTATCGACCTGCATCTTCAATTCTCGCTGATTGTATGATCAGTACACCGGCTCGTGCGTGAATCCTCTCCGAATTAACGATAGCGTCGGTACCACCCACTGACTCACGAAACCAGAGATACATTGGTGGTGGATTTCCCTGGGAGATGCAGGACAATACAATAGTTTCACCCGTACGAATGGGTAATGGGTTGACGCGCTCGTTGATCCGTGGTGGTTCTGGATTACGGTGCTCTGCGGCAAGAAATTCATTAGCAATTTAGATGAATTTCACATTCAAATTTTTCGAGTTTAACCGAAAGTTTGACGCTTTCTCGCGTGTACTGCATGTGTAAATTTTCATTGGTAATGTGGGATAAAACTTATAATAATAATTATCGTTATTTACATTCCATTGAGTTTTTCGTATTTATAATTGCAATTATGATTGATTCGTTCATTTGCAAGGGAAATAACGATGAAAGTATCAATTTTCGTGGACAGTTATTACTGCTGATGAAATTTGCATTCATCATTAATAATAATTTTGTTGAACATTGAAATAAGTCGTTAATGCTTTTCCCCGGATGTTTTTTCATTTATAATTGCAATTATGACTGACCTATCCATTGTCGAAGGAGAATAACAATGAAAGGAGGAATTGAGATCAATAATATTTCATAAATGCTTGGAACAATAGCACGTTTGATGTAGTAAATTCCGCGAGTGAATAAAAGATGAATTCAAACATTATTTCCAGTGTTCATCGCGGAATTATCAGTTACGAAATAATAATTAACGAAAATCGGTCGTGAAAAACATTAACGATTGAGGGGGAATTAAAATTCAACTCTTTGTTGCCTCAATAAAAGGGGGATTAATTTTTTGAATGTGTTGTTGCCATCATCGTGGCTTTAACAGACGGTTCAACCACTATTTTTAAAGTTTATCGTGTTGGTGATTTCCATTCGTAAAGCTTTATATTCATCTCAGTGATATTAATCTCAGTTATATCTCAGTGATAATAATTATTGTTCATTTTTGATGGACAATGTTATTGAGTGCTCAAGAGAATGATTTTATCGAGTTTTTTGTATTTATAAATGCAATTATGATTGACTCATCCATTGTCGCAGGAAAACAATAGCGAAAGGATGAATTGACATCCATAATATTTTATAAATGCTTGGAACAATAGCACGTTTGATGTAGTAAATGTCGCGTTCGGATAGAGGATGAATTCAAACATTATTTCCAGTGTTCATCGTGGAATTATCAGTTACAATAATAATAATTGCTGTATATCATTCACGCATAATTGGTCGAATTCCGAAATCAATAACTATTCTTTAATCCTCGATTTTTTAGAATTTATAATTACAATTATGATTGACTCATTCAATCCCCAGATAAAATAACGATTAAAGTGTCAATTATCGTTGACAGTATTCGATAGAAAAATCATTAACGATTTTGGGGGAATTCAAATTCAAATTTTTGTTGCCTCAATAAAAGTGGAATTAATGTTTCATTGTGTTGTTGCGATATATTTGAGCTTTATATTAATAATCTCAGTGATGATAATTCCTCATTTTTCATGGATAATGTTATCAAATGCCCAAATGAATGATTTCTCCAAGTTTTTTGTATGTATAAATGCAATTATGATTGCCTCATTCATTCTCGCAGGAGAACAATAGCGAAAGGATGAATTGACATCCATAATATTTTATAAATGCTTAGAACAATAGCATTGTCAGTTACGATGATAATAGTTGCTGTATATTATTCACGAATAATCCATCGAATTCCGAAATCAACAAATTTTTTTCCCCCCGATTTTTTAAAATTTATAATTACAATTATCATCGACTCATTCAATCCCCAGATAAAATAACGATAAAAGTATCAATTATCGTCGATAGTATTTTATAACTGCTTGAAAGAATGGCTGGCTCGGTATAGTGTCGCTAGTCGGATAATTGTAATTTGAGCCGATGATGTATTGATCGCCTGGAAACTAGCCAGAAATATATTGGGTGGTGAGGAGGCCAGAGACAAAGAGAACGAGGGAGAAAACGATGGGAGGTGTAAGTGGAGTCGACCTCCGCTGTGATTGTAACATTAGTCACGCAAAAATTGAGGGCTGGATTTTGAGCATTAACATATGCGGGGGGAAAATCGCAGGAAGAGATTAAGTGCTTCCTGTTCTTCCAACGTCTTCCGCCCCTGCATGAGGAAGCACAGAGGTTCTCTCGTTTACCTCAAAGACTTCGACATGGCTTTAATCTCAACGATTTTTTGTTTATGGAGTTGAATAAAAAGCGGAAAGAGGATTTATTGTGAAGAGCCAAGTGATAATCGATTATCGGAAAACTTTCTGTTGAACGGGTTCAATCGTCTGGCTGAGTTTTTTTCTCCCCAACTCTCTACGAAAATTGTCATCTGTTTTTGTAATAATATTGCACGGCTGAGGGTGATTATTTGATTTTTTTTTCTACTCTCACTGCTGGGAGATAGAGAGCACGGGAACGCGCGCTGAGCTATGGTTATCGCGTAGCAATGTTCGTGTAGTTAAACTGCCACCTGAGGCACTGTGTCAACAGTGGACGCAAGCGCAGCTTACATTGTCCAGTTTTCCAGTGTCAGTGCTGGAGTATTAGCTAAACCGTCATAATTCAACATTTTTCGGACGAAACTCGTCCTGATGAAGCAATGAATAATGGGATTATGTGGATTTCTCGGGTGCGGGATTGTTGATTTGCACAATTACAATAGGAGAAAAAAATTGTTCTGCCAAATAATTCCCCGGAAGAACTATTGCCGTGCTGAATTACTTTAGTTATTGACAATAAAAACGGTATAATTTTCGTACAACTAAATGATTTCGGGTAAAACTGAATAATTTCTAGGGGAATAATTTTTTTTGGGAATACAATATTCTTCCCCTGTAAATGTATTCAAATGATAGTGGTACAATGAATTGTTTTCCTTCGAACAGCCCAAATTTTTCTGGGGATTTTTCTAATGGTCATGACAACAATTAAATTTTTGTAAAAAATCTTGAATCTTTTCTACCACGTTGATTAATTTCCCTCAAATAAAAAAGTCAGTTCCACTCAAACAAATATTTTCATCTATAACATATGATTTTTCGACAGTACTGATTTTTTCTTTCAGTGTAGTTTTTTCCAATTTCCTTTTTTTGATTCTAAATGCAAAAATCTCCTCGTCAGTATGGCATACAATGAAATTATTCAAGTCCCTACGGTATGCGACCAGACGCTGAGGTGAGCATGAGAATCGATATTGTGATAAGTCAACGACCCTCAAATCTAAATAAGTCAGCTTCTAGGTTATTGAGCGCAGTTCACCTATGCAGTGAACGGCGATCATTAAAATGTTTGCGGGCATTTTTTGAATGCCAGACGAAAAAAAATATTGCCGACGCGAGCACGTCTTGACATTGCTAAAAAATGTGGCTGAAATTGTCTGCAGTTTCATGGAAATTTTTATGACGTGACAGTTCCTCGAAACTTCAATGAACTTCGCATTGACGATTCGCATTTTGAAAACTAATGGCAACTGTAAATTTCAGTTCAATTATTCCATGAAAATTACCAGAAATGAAGAAAGATCACTGACATAATTTCATGAATTTTCAATTAATTGACAATTCAGCATAATTATGCCAAACATTCGTGTTTTCTTTGAACATTTAAATAATGTTCATTACTTTCTTTCCCTCGACAATGACTATTAAAGTGCCTACGAAATTTCTTTTTCTTAACACTATATTTACTAACAGTTTTGACTCTTGCCATAAAAAATCTCAATCATCACAATAAAAATTTACGAACAAAATCGTTTGACTTCATGAATCACCTTTTCTTCATCACAATAAAGTATCTTCATGAAACAATATGATACGTAAAAAAAGTAAGTGTTAGCGCCAAGAAATTATTTTCCCCGCATATTCGCAAAAGTCACGCAGGGGGCCGAGTAAAATAGCTGCATATCTGCAGTTTCATGAAAATTTTTATGACGTAACAGTTCCACTGAAACTTAGACGAATTTCACATTGACAATTCGCATTTTGAAAACTAATGGCAACTGTAAATTTCAGTTCAATTATTCCATGAAAATTACCAGAAATGAAGAAAGATCACTGACATAATTTCATGAATTTTCAATTAATTGACAATTCAGCATAATTATGCCAAACATTCGTGTTTTCTTTGAACATTTAAATAATGTTCATTACTTTCTTTCCCTCGACAATGACTATTAAAGTGCCTACGAAATTTCTTTTTTCCTAACACTATATTTACTAACAGTTTTGACTCTTGCCATAAAAAATCTCAATCATCACAATAAAAATTTACGAACAAAATCGTTTGACTTCATGAATTACCTTTTCTTCATCACAATAAAGTATCTTCATGAAACAATATGATACGTAAAAAAAGTAAGTGTTAGCGCCAAGAAATTATTTTCCCCGCATATTCGCAAAAGTCACGCAGGGGGCCGAGTAAAATAGCTTAATAATAGAATTTATCGACTTGGAGGCAATATCCCGGGTTTTTATACCGTATTTTAATTTCGCGAATACCGGAGTTTCGAATGGAACGTTTTGCCAGCGTGTGGTGCTCCCACCGGAGGAATGCCGAGGCAGCACACAACAGCTATTTTTCACATGATCAATTCCCTATGGACATCCTCTGAAAGAAAATACAATCTTCCTATGAAACTGGTATTCATGCATTCCATGAAAAACAGGAAAACTGTCGAAGCCTTGACGTTAGTTGGATTTCCCGTCGACTATACTCCGTAAATGTAATGATTCCATTTTCTCATCTTATTTATTATATCAGAGAGGAGGGAGTTACTCTTACCCGTAACGATGAGCCGAGCGTGGCTTGAACTCTCAACCGTGTCTCCCGTGACATGATGTACTGTGCGGCATCTATATCCATAGTGGGTGTCTGCTGGTGTTGCTGAGAACACAAGTAACTCACCCGTTGGCAGCATGTGATACTTTCCGTCTGAAAGTACACATTACAAAGTATACATTTTACTCATGAGTAATATTATAAATTCATCGAATATCACGTAGCGGGAATGGACGTCCATTGTTTGCCCGATAAACCATCCACTGGGGATGAATGTGAACGAAAACGAGAGAGAATGTGTCTTGAGGACGGAAGAAAGCAAGTAGATGAGGGTCCAGACTCTATCAATATGCAAATTTTCTTAATGGAAAAGCTCTCTGTTGTTACCGCTCTCGCATACATGTAGGCAGGTAGGAATAGGGGACCAATTTAGGAGTGGAGGAATATAATAATGGCCCGAGAGGACGCGAAATGCCCTCGTAAATGTCGCACACTGGACTGACATTAAAAATCCCGTTAGTCTATTGTTATTTTTATAATCGTACGACTACTAAATAATACCTTATTTTCGGATTTTAAGGATTTCCCTGAACTTTGGTATTTTTTCGCCAGTGAAATGCTTTTCTAGTTTTGTAGGCGAATATCAGTTTTCATTTGAGCCACATTTCCCCCTAAGTTTCCAGACATTTTAACATGATTTTATTACTTAAATTTTGCAGGTCTGAATTTGAATCTCGATATTGAACCGTCAGAAAACATTTTGAAAATATGAGAAAAAATAGAAAATTTACTTTTGGAAGAAGATTGAGGAAATAATTAAACAATTTCGAGATAAACAATTGATAAACTGTAATTAAATTTTAGTTATAAACAACAAATGGTTAAAGAAATGATAATTCTATCCCAAATGTAATTTCAATGACGCAAATTTCAATGAATATTCATGATATTTTTTCAAATTTTTCTCACGCAATTTAATTAACAAATTTGATGATCGAAAATGGTTGAATTTACAGTATTGTCTGTGCGAAACTGTGAAAGATATTTGAACATCCTTGACGTTTTAAAATAAAATGACAAAAGTCTGAATTTGAGAAATTTGATAATCTAAATTCGAGACTTTCACAAGTCTCGATCATCTTATTTTTATTATTTTCCAGTTTTTTTCTTCCGTCGCACATACGGTGATGAATCAAATTACATTGGGATGCACAACTCGCGTATATTTCATAACATTTCTTTCGTATACTTATCTGTATATCTTTTCTTGTTACATCCTTTTTCACCACCACGTATATCACCCTCTGGAGGTTTACCGTTTGCGCTTGTTCCCGACTTCCTTCAACTTTTCCTCGCTCGTGCGACTCGAATAAACGTCAACGAATGGTACCTACATCTGGCTCCCACAACTTCTACTGTACTATCTTTTCCACTCCCTGACTTCAACTTGCGACGCTCAACAATCCCAGGCGTTTTGATATTTTTCGGGGTTTTATTTTGATTCAACAATGCCATTTGTCGCTGTTTTCTCGGAATGGGGATGATTTCATATCTTTTATTTAACTCATATTCTCCGTGTGAGTCGACAATTTTCCGTAAATTTGAGTTAGATATTTTTTCTCATTTATACAGAGAAAAAGTTCCTTGAGCAATTTTTTTTCAATTTAAGAATAATAATTGAATTGGATTACATTGAATAATTAGCTTGACTGAATTATACCTTTTTATGTCTGTATATTTAGCAATCATGTACCCCCAGAGAAATGGTTTATTGGAATTAAAGAAACTTCAAAATACAATAAAATATAAAAGTTTTAATTAAAACAAAAATTTAGTCCACTAAAATGCAATAACTCTAGTAAAATTTACGATATTTCTATGGAATTTCTGCTTAAAGGATTGCATTTCCTACTTCACTTGTTGCGTTCTCACTCGAATTTCGTTAAAAAATTCCTGACAGGCCAATAGGCTGCAGAATTACTGGAGTTCGTGCGTAATTGTCGACCCATTTTTCTCTCCGTATCGGAAAAAACGAGTCTTTTTCCAATAAGTAAAATTTATTCACCTCAAACAAGTGACTGCAACTCTTTCAATTTATAAAACACTGCATTCTTAATTCAAGTAAAAAAATGGCTCTCCGCAGCCGCAGCACTCCACTATCTCCCCCCGAATCCCAAAGTTTTTCATCGAAAATATTCGTATGGAGGTCGGTAATTAAAAGTGCAAAGTTTCGTGTGAATTACCGAGTCATGGTGGACCCCAGGCGAGAGACATTAAACCGCCCGAGGGTTGAATTTATGGCTGGAGTTTGTTTTACGGTGATTCGAAAATATATGAATAATTAGAAACACGCAGTACACTTCCCTAATTCAAGGTTAATTAATTTTCAAAACACAAGATGAGAAAAACTTCGTAATTCGTAAGTAATGATAGTTTAATGATTGACGTAAAAACATGTATCAAGGGAAAAGGGTGGATAATTAAAGTTTAACACTGGGGTATTTGCTCCAAAGTAAACTCACCGCTTACAGGCGCTGGGTAAATGTTAAAAGCCGAGTCTTGTACCCATGAGGTAACCGCTACATATTCTTTGGTGTGCGCTGGTATGTCGCATCTCAAAACTCCAGTATTACCAGCGAGTACGTGAGCATCTTTAACACCAACTTGGTATTTTTGACGGACAACTGTAATCAGACAATTTCCAAGCTTTTTCATGCACGAGAGTTGGCTCGTTGGTTATGCATATTATTTATAATTGTTATGTGTTCATTTATTCATTCAAAAAGGAATTAATATTCGCTCTCATTGTGTTCAGATGTGGATCATTTATTGTTCAATTTAAAATTATATTTTTTCCTACTACTCAAGATTTGACTTGAAATATTCATAAGTCTAGAATAAACTTGGAGAAATAATTTGCTGACTGAAAATGTTTCAGGAATTTTTTTACTTTCAGGAAATGTCAGTGATTTTCAGGTATCCATGACTAATTTCTAGGAATCTATCTCTAATTTTTAAGAACTAAGAAAGGCATCGGTTTATGCATGTTATTTATGATCGTTATGTATTTATTTATTTATTAAAAAAGGAATCAATATTCGCTCTCATTGTATTTAGCTTGCATCATTTATTTTTCGATTTAAAATTATATTCTTTATTATGACTTGAGACTTGACTTGAAATTTTGCCAAGTCTATGATAAACTTGGCGATGATAAACCTGGTTTCCTCTATTTTTTAATAGAAGACTCGCGTTTGTGGAATGCAAAGAGTGCGCAAGTCTGAAAATCAGTGATTTTGTCACCGATTTCTCGCGACATCGTCCCATAATTTCAAGGAATTGTCACTGATAATTAGGGTTATTCTAGTTAGTATTCAATATCACCAAAAATTGAAGATAGATCCTTAAAAATCAGCGCAATGTTCTCGACAATTAATTTTTTGTTTCTCTCCGTCCATTAAATCCATTAAATTCAAGCAATTAATAGTGGTTTAAATCTGGACTTGATTGATTCCCCACAATTGGCAAATGTTATCCACGTGGATTTCCATGCCACATGTGTCAATCAGTCCAACAAATGCAAACTCGTGTTGATTTGAAAATTAATTGGAAATCCAGCGCTCAATTTAGAGAGATATACTCGTGGTTTATCCCTATTTTATTGTGCAATTGTTACATTTTCAAATTACTGCGATAGGAAATCTTCGATTATTGGGAACAGGGGATAACAAACTCGTTACAGATAGAACAAATAACACGAGAATTGTAACGCTCGGCCACGGGAAATCCCCTTCTAGCTCTTGGCAGACAGTCCATATCGGTAATTAACCGCAGTAAGTGCCAAGTGGGCTTAATGGCTTTTGGCAAAGCTATGGGTACATTTATGAATTCACAATTGGAGTAGTCTGCTCTTATGCTGATAGTCAACCGCATTGGGGCGATTCTTGCAGCATCTTCCACTTGGAAATTTGTTGGGAGACAGTTATAAACAGTTGAGGAAATTACCCCTGAAATTTCAAGTAAAACATTTTGGATTTTTTAAACAGTGACTAATTCACATATGAAAAATTCTGATATGTTGTTATTGCAGGGGTTGAATTTCTTTACTGACATTTCAGGGACTTGGCTGACTGAAAACTTACGAGGAAACTAATTCTCATTTCAATTATAGTGTGAAAATCAATAGAAATTAGGGAAATTCAGTCAGGGAAATCAGGGAATTCAGGGAATTTTCATCTTGCTGCTGCGGAAAAATTAGAAATTCCATTGAATTTTTTGTGAAATTTGAAATTTCATGTTATTCTCTTGAAAGCTACTACTAATGGGTCTATGACGTTTAAATTTTCTGGGTAATAATTAATTAATTTCTAGAATATTGAATGAAATTGCAACTTTCAGCTCAATATAACTCTGAAAATCATTCCAAGTCAATTTTCACTTTTACATTGAGCCTCATAATTTAGGCTATCATTAAAATTTGACCACCTAACATGAACAATTGAATTTAAATTTACAATATTGAGAATCCAAATGCAATTGTTCCTCCAATTAAAAAAAAATTGCAAGCACGGAATTGCTATTCTGTTAAAATCCGTGACATTAATAATTTTTTTTTTAATTGAACTCATCGCCTCTCTCCTGAAAATTCCTACTAAACTTTCCATGAAATTTGAATCTCTGTGTCCAATAGTGTGACAAATCAATGAATGTCTGGAATATTCAATGAAATTTCAAAGTCGAAGTCTTTGCGGTAGTAAAAATTACTGAAACCTGAAAATTCGTACAACGGTTATTTTGAATTTTTCACCAATTGAGAATTCAATTGAATATGATGCTCCTATTAAAATGTAACCTATCACCCACCACAAACAATCAAATTTAAATTCACGAAATTGAGACCTCAACTGCAGCTACTCTTCAAATAAAAAAAATTCCCAACAGGAGAATGGCCGCCCAATTAAACCCCATTAGATAATTCATTGATCTAACCAGCTTTGACGTTGACTTCACGCCCCAGTACTCGTCCCACAGTATTCGATGCTTGACACCTGTACACAGCAAAATGCACATCGTGCCGATAACTTTCAGCCCCGAATGGAAGAAAATACATGGAGCCATTGACGAGCATCTCCCTGATGTGGGGAATCGGATGCACTGGTGATCCATCACCCATGAGCCAGTCAATGCGTGGTCCAGGACTCCCTGTAGCTGAACAATGCAGCATCGCTCCAGTGTCATTGGAAAATTCTATGGTTGACCGCGGCTCGGAGTCCAAAACTGGCCCTTGGCTATCCAGCACGTTTCCTCGGCCTGTAATCACATTAATCAGGTATTTCATTATGCCACATAAATATCATTAAAAAAGCTTTCAAGGAGTGGCGCATGGAATTTCCAATAATGTCCCTAGCACAAGGTTTTCTTCACAATATAGACCTTCCGTTTTTTTTTTGCACATGCAAGAACACTTAACCACATTATCGTTAAGGTCTATTCGTACACCGCTGAGAGCATTAGTTTTCTGTCGTAAATAATTGCCCAGATTATAATTGCAGGAGAAAAATCAATGTTTGGCGTGTTGGGATATGCGTGGATTTTTTTTTATTTGTGCGCAGAGGAACAAATAATTTCTACTCTGGTAAATGCGCCCCGCGCTTAATGCAGTATCCCATGGGTCTCGACGAAAATTATTCTCGCGTTAATAAATTATGTTGGGTATGGCATCAAAGTGGTAGTGCGCTGTAAGCCACCAAACAGTATGGCCGCACACCGTACTATCCCTCTTTTGCCAGTAAATATTAATTTCTCGGTGGAAAATGTCTCATTACGTGGACCAGGAGAATGCTGTTAGAACCGCAGGAGTCTTCTTTTTCAAATGTGTGTGGAGAGTAATCAATGTCATTTTTATTATTTAGTAATTGTTCACTCCAGCATTGTGCGGCTAAAGTTAGAGAAAATTTTGATGAAGTTTATAAAACTCTAGGATTTATTCACTTTTTTCCGCTGCAATGACGTTTGGTATTTTTTGTGATCATTCTGGAGGGTTTTATCATCTCTAATAATTTCGAGAAATAGGGTATCCTTTTCATATCCATGTTGTCAGTGTCGTGTCAGTAAATATTAATTTCTCGGTGGAAAATGTTTCGCAAGAGTCTTCATTTTCAAATGTTTGTGGAAAGTAATTAATGTCATTTTTATTATTTAGTAATTGTTCACTCCAGCGTTGTGCGGCTAAAGTTAGAGAAAATTGTAATAAAGTTTATAAAACTCTAGGATTTATTCACTTTTTTCGTCTGTAATGACGTTTGGTATTTTTTGTGATCATTCTGCAGTGTTTTTTCATCTCTAACAATTCAGAGAAATAGGGAATCCTTTCTATAGCCATGTTGTCCCTCTCTTGTCAGTAAATATTAATTTCTCGGTGGAAAATGTTTCATTACGTGAACCAGGAGAATGTTATTGGAACCGCTTTTTTAAAATGTTTGTGGAGTCAAATCAACGTTATTGCATTTTTATTATTTGCTAATTGTGCACCATAGCGTTGCTCGGGTGAAATTAGAGAAACTTGTAATGAAATTTTTAAAACTGAAGGATTTATTCACTTTTTTCCCTGCAATAACGTTTAGTAGTCTTAGTAAACATTCTGCAGTGCTTTTGAAATCTCTAAAAATTTGTAGAAATAGGGGATCCTTTCATATACTGTCCCCATCTTGCCGGCGAATATTAATTTCTCGGTGGAAAATATCTCATTACCAAGAACAGGAGATATCTCATTAACAGACTAAGAGAAAATGGTTTTGGAACCGCAGAAGTCTTTTTCATCAAATGTTTGTAGGGGCAAATCAAATTCATTTCATTTTTATTATTTAGTAATTGCCCACCCCTGCGTTGTAGCGACAAAATTAATAAAAATTTGCATTTAATTCCGTAAACTTCGGAATGTATTCACTCTTCCCTTACAATAGCATTCGGTTTTTTCTAAACATTCTTGAGTATTCTTAAAAATCCTGACAATCCCTAGAAATAGAGTATTCCTGGGAATACTCCCTGATCCGTTTTGATGCTTTTTCAACAATTCGCAGTATTCTCCCTAGCTTCGTGATCCCATTTCAGGGATTCCGAGAATTTTCAGGGTTTTCAAACGGATACTTTAAAAAAACCGATATTTTCTGGCATTTCCTCAGAAAAACTCAAATACCTTATATCGGGATAAGAAAAATGCAGACGATAGGTGAATTTTCCTCGGCTGGCTTTGAGAAATTTCATGAGCGTGAGGGTACTTTGTCCTGAAACTGTAAAGTTTACCTGCAATTTCATAAAAAATTACGCCAGTGACTCGTGGGAATTTTTTTCTAAGGGCGTAGAATTTTTCCCGTTCGTCCCCATGTCCTTTGCATCGGTAAAAGAAAAAATATACTACCGTTGCGGTAGATTTTCGCGTAACCCTTTTAAATATTCACGCTTTTAATTGTTTTCAATGGCTTGAATCTAAAAAATTTACCGATACTTTCCAGATAATTTTTCACCAACTTCTCCCTCCGTGCATCCATTAAACACAAATAACCTCCCCTCATTATTATGATCTTACAGTCGTACAAATGCAGTCATAAGCATTGGGTCTAATGATAACCATACGCGTGAGAGAGCACTAATGCAGTGCTGAAATGGTTCGAGAATTCTCTGCAATTAAGGGTGGATAACCGAGAGAGGGAGAGAGACGGAGAGAGGGAATGTACTTACAGGGGAGATATAAATAGAGTAAACTCACCCGGTGGAATTTACACGGTTCCATGATTCTTGGATATACCCCTGGTTTCGGTGGTGACACGGGGTTTGTACTTTTATAGCAATACGTACTCAACTGCATATACGATGCAGAGCCCATACACAATGCGTGACTCTACATGACGCGTGGCTTTGACGGCAAATGGTTGGGGCGTAAACTGGGCACAGGTGTAGACAGGCGGGGGCCACAGAGCACTGAGAGTGCCGTACATAAATGTCATTCGGCCATGTGTGTATTAGACCAGAATCAGTATATCCCAAGTTACGAGCTTTGTGTACATATGTGTTCTAACGTCCATCATTACCCCAGGAATTAATGAAATATGAAATTATGTAAATGAATTTTGAAAGTTTCAAGTTGAGGCATGTCCCCGTCGTGTGGTTAAACTCCGTTTAGCTCGGAGTTGAATTTAGCGAGTTGGCTTTTATTGTAATCCCCGTGCAGTCTCGAATCGTTGGCATTTTCCTTCGAGATATTTTTTAGGTATTGCGCGCACGGAGAGAATCAAGTAGTAAAAATTACCATGGTCGTAGGAGGGCATACAATGACGATTAGAAAAAGGGTTTTCAAATGACCAGACGTAGTAATTCTTACTATGTCGCTTCGTAAACACGAGAATGCCTCGTGGAATGCTTACTATGTCCCACGGGAATGTTTACTATGTCCACACGGGAATGCCTACCGGGTGCATCAAAAATGATCAACTACACTGTTAAAAATTTCTTGAAATTTCAGTCACAATATCATCTGAATTTCCAATGTTGTGAGTTTGAATTCAATTTCAGTTGACAACGTTCACTAAATTTCTCATTCTCTTGAAAATTCAAGAAAATTTGTTTTTTCATATTAAAAGACCATTGAATTTGCAATAGATTGAAATTCAGAGAAGTTATTGCCTGAATTTTCTAGATTATTAAGGTTTTTCAGTGCCGTATGGATCTGGAAGTCGAGAATTATTTGAATATTCAAGAAATTAACTGATTTATCAATGAAGAATTCTACAGAAATTTCATGTAACTTTATCGTTGTTAAAAATTTCAAGTTTTTTTGCTTGAAATTTCAAGGGGAAGTTTCTAACAGTGTATTAAAAATTTTTGTTTGAAATTTCCGGTACACTTTTTGAAAATTTTTACCAAATTTAATTGCCACTGCAATTTCAAGGAATTTTGTCATTGAAAATTCAGAATTTCGTGGAAAAATCAAAGAGAACTGGAAATTTCAGTTCCATTCTTTCCTGAAAATGAATAGAAAACCAGAAAATTTCAATTTATTCTTGAATTTTCAGGGCACTGACACTGAATGCGATTTAGGGCGAAAAAATCATGAAGTTTCAGATTTCACGGAAATTCAACATAAGTTGGCACTGAATGTTTATATTAGATTGAAAATACAAATAAATTAGGGAATTCTCGTTTTTGTGTTGCTTAAAATTCTGGAATTTTACTGAATTTTCAGTGAAACTTGAAATTTCATGATTTTTTTCCCCTAAATCGCATTCACTGTCCCTGTCCTGAAAATTAGTATTCAACTGTCCATGAAAATTCATATTTTTTAACAGTGAAATACTGTATTGGTATAATAAAAAAAAATACTGTATTGGAAAAATAAATACTTCTCTCAAGTAAATGGATATTTGGCAGAAAAAAATTTTTCCTCGGTGTACTGCGTGCAAGGAGAGAATAAAGTTGTGAAAATTGTTATGATCATCCGAGGAAATAAACTGGCGATTGGTAAAAGGGTTTTCAAATAACCCCATATAGTAACTCTTACTATGTCGCTTCGTAAACACGACAGTGGCTCATGGAATTGCTTACAATGTCCCATGGGAATGTTTACTATGTCCACACGGGAATGCCTACCAGGTGCATCAAAAATGATCTCAAGAGCACGGGAAGTATCCCTAAACTACAAGATTGAAATTCGCAATTGCCTTCTGATGCGTTCGTAAACTCAAGACGATCAAGTCTTTGTGCTCAGTAATCGATGAGTTTATTATGTGTTATAGGACATCTTACTATGTTACAACAGCAAATTTTCGTGTATAATATGGGGATTTCTCCTATGTAATGCAGGAAAGCCTCTAATGTTACATACGAAACTATCATCTAACACAGAAACCTAGGTATACAGGGAGAGAATATCAAGTTAAAAATTACTGTGTGAACATAGTAATCGAGGAGGGTATTGACAAAAACTTAGAAATTTCATTTATTCTACACTGAGAAAAAATTTCCTCATATGTAGATCTTACTGACTTGAGCTTGGGCGTGATGAATTTCGAATAAATTCTCATTTATTACACACTGTTAAAAATTTTCGTCTGAATTTTCCGTGCCAAATTCTGGAAATTTTTATCGTGCTCAAGTTCCACTGAAATTTAAGGAAATTTTGCCATTGAAAAATCAAATATTCCATTGATTTTCTGTTTAAATAATCTGGAAATCAATAAAATACTTGATTTTTCGGTTCAATTATTCTGTGAAAGTTCAGAAAAATCGGGAAAATTCTGGGAAAAATTGAAAATTCA